GGCGACTCGGACCACGACGCACTTATCATGAAAGTGTTCCTAAATGCAGGAAAACCAAATCAGTGCCGTCCAGTTAGCACAAAGACTTGTGTTGAATGGTCACACACTGTCTTAGCCCAAAACAAAACTGAGAAAAGTTTAAAGTAAATAAAAAAAGAGAGAAGAAAGCAGTGCTGAAACAAACACCAGAAAAAGGAGGAAATGAAATAAAACGTCAGCTCAGTGGCTTCTCTGTTCCACCCAGCAGCCGAGGGCAGATTTCATTAAAAATGTATCCTGTGATTTATCTGCACTCTGCTTGACAGGTGGGCTCCCCACCGTCCTGCAGCTGATTTTATTACCCTCTCTCTACCCCTCTCTCTCTCCCCCTTTCTTCTCTGTGAAGACACTCATCACCATAATGCGTTCCAATGCCCCTCCACCCCCGCCCTCACCGCCTTAACCTTTCTCGACTCAGGCTTTAAAGACAAGCTTCACTCTTATTTTAATTCTGTAATATTTATTTTTAATTTTTTTTTTTACTTTCAGTTAATCTTTAAGGGAAATTACTCCTAGCGTTCGACCTTGAAACACCCGAGTGATTAACGCCAGACACTTGGCACTTAATACAGTATTCGTTGCGCAGAAAAACTAGTTCTGCTCCACGTTTGCGAAAGTAAAGCACACTCGCTCTTCAACTGATACTCATTAACTAACCCAGATGAGGGTTTCAATCCCAAATGAACTAATTCTGGTGCAAAGCCATAAAAACCACTACGCTGCTGATCACATGAAAATGTCTTTGTCAGTGAAGTAATCACAAAATCACAAAATTAAATGGGATTGAATACTGTGATAACTAATATTGGAGTGGATGTGGAACTGAATGTGACAATCAGTAACGGGAACCCCTTCCCTGTTTTAGTACTTTCTTGACACAGCACAGTCCAGCCATGGCCTCCATAGAACCTGGTCCTCTCCAATTACAAGCTTCATCCTTTAACCACTAGGGGCAGGCTGCCCTGTGAATGTAAACTCAAAGATCTTAGATTTGCTAACATGACTTATCGATATGAACTTCGAACTTTTCTCTAGAAAATTGATCAGTACTACTTAAACAGACAGACTGAGGTGTTGATCTCTATCAGTGCTGCCCTCTGCTTGGCTTTTTTTCTTTGCTATTTGCAAAAGGAAATGGAACGACTCGATACTTTTCCGTGAGTATCTATCGATATCAATCCGATATTTTCTTTCTCCTTCGGCATGCTGCGGACTGCCGTCACTGAGCGTCCATGTTAACAGCATGTTGAGTTTAAGCTAAGTTGAGCATTTTGGCTAGGGTATTAGACCAGATGGGCTATAGTTGTTATTTTCTATGTTTGCTCCTGGAATTTTGACCAGTATTGAATACCGATACAGATCCTCAGTATTGGATTGAACCATCCCTAGTAGTTTTTAGTGGGAATGTTTACAAGTGCCAAACAGAGCCTGTAGTTACAGAATATCCATAGAAAAACAAGCAGGTGTGCAGAGATGGAATCGGCTTAGGAAGAAAAACTTAACAGATTAAGGTTTTCTTTCAACAAATCAAGACAGATGGTGACGTAAGATTGTGTGTGAATGTGAGACCATCCGCAGCACAAAACTACCAATCACTTGGCATTCAGCGCCTTAGGACCCAGCAGGGGGCATCATCACCAGTGCCTGTGGAGGCTCGAACGTGTCTGCTGGGAGGACAAGGGCATTAAGCTGTGTTCACTGATTCACCTGCAGGAAGAGAGCTAGTCCCTCCAACTACACCCAGTACCTTACCCTCATCCCCAGACTGCCCTCCTGCCTTGTTAGGACCAGGCTTTGGTCCAAATTAGGACTACAGATTGTTGGAGAAATTAAAACCGATGCCAGAAGCTGAACTGAAATGTCAGAAAAACCTCCATAGAGCTGTCCAGGTCCAGCTGGACTCCTCGTCTATCTGGACAACCACGTTGTCGATAAGAGGGAGCTGCACATGGAAAAGTACTGGACCACTGAGACGTCATGTCACCAGGGTCAGTGTAATTCCCAGATCATCTGGTGTCAGCATAAATGACACTCATTTAAAATCTGCTCCCATCAATCAAGCCTATAAAGCAGCAGGTCGGAGCATTCTCGCTCTCTCTCCCTCTCGTGCGCGCTCTCTCTCTTTTTTTCCCATCAGTCCCAGTGGGAAACGCAGAGTAAGCACTCACCACTTTTACACTACACTCTGGGCTAACAATCTTTTTACTGCCACTGGTGTGTCTGGGCTACACGTAGGACAGGTTTGAACATAGAACAGGCCTTGTCCTCACTGCAGCAGTGGAGTGAAGTGTATGCAGTGTCTCTTTAAATGCTTAAAAATATGGGGAATAAGTCGGTTTAATCCTTTTAAGTGGCAAATCCTGGGGGACGTGAACGCCAGAGTCCTCGTATGAATACGTTTATTTAACTGTGGTCTTCGCTTCTAGTAATGTATTAGTGTAGTATAAAAGGTTTTATTGCCTGACTATACAATATTATGAGCGGACTGCTAATAGCAGGTGAGCTGACATTGCATCGTGTCTGGATTTTCAATTAGAGTATGGAGAACAAGGGCAGGTCTAGGGGAGCGTATCACAGTTAACGCAACTGAAACATGAAAATGTGCACCACAAGACTTTTCACTGTTCTCACAACAGTTCTTCTCAACTCTTTATTAATAACTCTTGTGGTGTCATCTGTCTCTCCTGCGAAACTGCACGAGAGTAGATACTGCAGTACATAGTATCATAATCTAAAAATACACAACTGAAAACTGCTACATTAGCGGAAAGAAAGTCTAAATGTTTGAAGAAAAACAAAAAAACAAAAAGTTGAAATCAACAGAAAATAGGCAAATCATTAAAAGGGAATCTACAAAATGCTAAAAGTAGCACTATATATAAAAATAAGAGTAAGCAAAGTTAGCCCCTTAAAAGGTATGTTAGCCAAAAGGAAAAAAAGGTAGAAACTAAATGCTATAAGCTAGCAAAGAAAAAAAAATGGCAGCAAAATGATCAAAGCAAAATACATTTAAAAAAAAGTCAAGTTAGAGTAGTGTGTTTTAGTTCTTGATTTTTATCGTTGTCTCGAATAAGTATTGAGACCCGTGAAAGTTCACAGGCATTGGTATTGACTTCTGAAATTCTGGTATCGTGACAACCCCATACATAGCTAAACTAAGATGATGTTGATGCAAATTTAAAAAAAAATTGGTTTGAAAATGACTAAAAAATGGACTTAGAGAGGCAATTTAAAGTTCAACTCAGAGGAAGCTGTTGAAGCTGTTGACACAGTGGTCAAGGTCAAACAGAGGATCTGCTGCATCACCATAACTGACATCCCCACATGCACTTGATCATTCTGCTTGGATATTAACGAGGTCCAACATGGAGCCTCAACAGGAACGTCGACCTCAGCATCTTCAGCTACATCTTGTTTCCTGAATCTCTCTCCATCTCTTATTTTCTTCATTTCCCTCTTAGCCTTTTTCCTCTCCTGCTTCCTTCACTCCTGCCTCCTCCACTGCAGCACTCTCGTCGTCTCTCCTTGTTTGTTGTTCTCTCCTCCCTTCTCCTTCTTGTTCTACTTTTTAATAATTCATCATCTGCCATGCCGCCTTCCTCTTGGGGAAAGACTCCAACTGTCACGGACCAAGACCATTAATCAATCTCATGTCTCCTTCTCTCCTCGCCTCCTGTTAGCTCTTCACCTTCTCCCTTTGTGCCAATTTTACCCCCTCAGCTTTTCTTCTTTTTTTTTGCCTCTCTACACTCTTTTTCTAGCGTTTGTTCCATAATTTACATTATTTTCTGTAAGGTATTATTGGCCCATCACTTGTAATTCCTTCAGTAATTGCCCCCTAATCACTGGAGCTGTCGACTTCTTCTACATTATGTATAAGCAGGGCTTCATTTTTGCATGTGCCGTGATACAAACGACAATAAATCTGTTACACTTCCTATGATAAATGAAAAGTGGCAGCTCATAACACAATAAATCTAAAGTTAATTACTGGCTGTCCCACTGTAGAACCGTACAGTCCACACACTGAGGTTCACCCACGAGTTAATGACAGAAGAGTAAACCAGAGTACTGTTTGTGTCGAAATGTCAAATTGAGCCTGGCTGAAAAAGGACAAATAGAACTGAGCACGAAGCAGCGCCAGTAGAGGGCAGTAATGCAGAAAAAGGTCAAAACACAACAAATATGACGTTGCCTAGGCTGGTGGGAGGGGCAGGATTACCTTCAGCCAACTACGACAAACCAACCAACCAAGCATCTAATCTACCAAACCACCAACTAAGCAAGCAAATACAAACCAACCATCTTACCAACAACTGATGGACTAAACGACCAATAAACCACCTTACCAAACAACCAGCCAACTAACAAACCAAGTAACCAATCAAGCATTCTACATCTAAACGAACCAATGGACGGCACAACCAATCAATCAACTTACCAACCAATCAACCAAACAATCAACCATCCTAAACTACCACTAAACAAGCTAACTAATGGACCAAACAACCAACTTACCAACCAATCGAAGTACAAATCGAAGTATCAACTGACTAGAAAGACTAGAAAAACAAATGTGATCCCTGTTTTTCCTCGTTCTCGATTTTACAACCCTGCCTTTCTGTTCTTTTCCTTGTTTCTCCTCCATCTTTTCTTCATCCATCTTCCAGTAACGTGGCCTTCTGATTGGACATCACCTGCCCTACAAACAAAGATACACATTCCTGTCTGCAGCAGTTCTTATCAGGCATCTACCTCTGCCTTAATGTCTGAAGCAGGTTATCAGATTGAACTTCTCTGATAGACCCGTGCCCCTCCCTTCACCCACCTCACACACACACACACACACACACACACACATAAGCCTGTAGAACTAGTTGCACTGGAGCGAAATATCGCCCGAACGGAAACAAACACACACATATTTGGCAGTGACTCCTAGAGGAGGCTAGCTGTATTACCATGCCTGCAGGAGGTGTGGGTCGCCTGTTTCCTCCCGTCTGACGCCCGCGTGCTGGAGTGGCTGGGCGTGTGATGGTGTTGCAGAAGCAGGGCTACTTGTCAGGATGTTGTTGTGATGCTGTTTACCTTCTTCATGTGCTTCTCTGTCAGTCTGGTCAGCACCGTGAGAGCTCTGACTTCTGGAAGATGGACAAAAACAGGGGTGGGGGGGAGAAGACAGTGTAAGATAGTAGTACATGGAGTACATATGGTAGTACAGTACACACTTCACATACAAATATGGGAAATATTTTAATGAGTAGATTGGAAAAAGATTCGGCAAATATATATCTGCTATATCTGCATGGGTGTGACTGAAGAACACACACACACACACACTACACATGTGACGTACTTTAAATACACACACATTTCTCAGTGGGGGTGCAGTTTCTGTCCTTGAGTAGAAGATCTGACAGAATGGTTGATCAGTCTACATGGAGACAGAGGTGTGAATGGAAACACACACACACACACACACACACACACACCAATATAGGCCTTCATTCATTTTCATGAGTTGGCAGGAGTGTGAGGCAGTGGGATGTAGAGCAAACACTCCCTTGTTTTCATACACTGGGTTACACTCTCCAGGCTAACCAACACTCACACACACTACACTAACTTATTTCAGCTATTTCAATCATTAAAATAGCTATTCCCAAAAGCTGAGAAAAAAACACTGAAAAGAACTAAGGAGGTTTTTTTGTGGCTTAAATAAATTAAACAGGAAAAAAAACCCACAGGTAGCGTTTGAAAACTCATACAAAATAAAACTCCTTAGTCGTTTTATTACAGGTGTGTTTATCTGCAGCAACTCTTCCCTGTGTTGGCATTTTCTTCTCTCCAGTAGGTGGCAGCAGTCACTGGGTTTTACAGCAAACCCAGTGAAAAATGAGCATGCCATATTAGGGGAGGGGCACACAAGCCTCGAAAAGGAAGACTAATTAGTGAAATAGAATAATTATAATAAAAATTAACATGATTAATTAATTTTCTAATCCGTAATCGTGTTCAGCAGATTTGACCTAGACGTACACAACAGTCAACACCACAGTACTACCACCAGGCTTTTACATTTGGTGAAAAAGGTCACGTATGTTTCACAGGAAGTCTGACTGTAGAACATTATTTAAAAATTCTGATCTAAAAAGGTCGTAGGTCACGGTCACTCCGGACTAAAAAAATAGAAGTTTGGAGTCACTGGAGAAAACAAAGAGCTGATTTTATCATCGTTTTGTAAACTGAGGTGAACAGCTGAACAGCGGTTCTATCCACGAGATGAAATGTCAACAGGATTGACCACAGACGGAGCACGGACGTGTTTGGTCACGCTCACACCAGAGACTTGACATTTATAGAGCTGTCCTGAGGTCTTCACTTTCCAGAGGGAAGAGATTGACCTTAAGGTCTGTTTTAGTCGGTAGTTTAAATCAAATATTTTATTATTGTATTTAAAAAATATTACTTGTACTACTCATCTACCCTTACTACTATTACTACTAACTTATTTTGAATAATATATTGATAAGAAAAAATCTGCATTCCCTCTAAGCCCAAACGCTCATCTTAACTTGCCGTGACAGGGATGCTATGACCTCAGCAACAGTAGCCAATGGCACGCTGGAGGAGAAAAGGTATCGGATTGATATCAGTGTCAGCAGATACTCCAAGTTGCAGTATCGGTATTGGACACGAAAAGGTTGCATCCCTAATATTTTTAGGGACATTAAAACAGTCGTCTGTTGACTTTTTGGTTTAATTAGATTAGATGAGCCTTAAGGTAGAACATTTGGAATGTAGTCTTGAGGCGTTTAAGGTGGTCTTGGCTGGCTCTAGACTAGAACTAGAATCCTATCCAGACTCATTCTCAGCATCTATTCCTGAGTCTGCCGTAGAGACAGTTTGCATTCTGGGATGTCACAATTACAAGATAACTTTAACAAAACAAAAAACAAACTTTGGAACATAATTTTTTTGTTTTTCTGTGAATGTCATCGGAAACAAAAACAAGCTAGAGGTTTCCACAGTCACTGCATAGATCCTGCAATTTCACAGTCCTGTCCCTCGAGAGGGAACTATTTCCAGGCTGCAAACAGTCCCAGTACATCCAATTAGTCTGTGGTTCCTACGGAGCATCTTTCCTATAGTGCCGTCCCCAGTTCCTGTCGGAAACTTGTGCCTAAAGTCTCTATAAAACACTGAGTATCTCATCAGCATGGGTTCTATCTGGATCCTGTCAGAGGAGGTGGGAGATAAGACACAGATGAGATTGTTGGTCTGTTCTGAAGTGGAGGAAGTGGAGGATTAAATTGTAGTGATGCTGCAGCCTCTCAGGGGGCAGAAGAGAGAGAGCGGTGCAGCCAGGAGGAGCAGAGGAGAGATATAGAGGAAAATTGGAAATGAGCAGGAAGAGGAGCAACAGGACAAGCAGAGGGAGCAGAAGAGGCAAACAGCGAAACGCTTAGCTGAATGCAAAGCTGCCGCGCAAAAGGGGACCGAAGGGATTTGGCCAAACAGGAGCGGCTGATATGTAGTCGGCCCCTCAGGCAAAGGAGTCTCCACCGGAGGCTGCTCCTCATTTTCTCCTCCAGTGCCGCCTCTTTTCAGCCAGCGGTCGTCACACCGCCACACTGACAATTACCTCCTCAACACACCTTCCACTGGGCAGCCACTCAGTCGGCTCTGCCAACTCTGCTCAATGCCATGGGTGGAAATGAGGGGGGGGGGGATGAAATCTCTCCTAACAGGCATTGGCCACTAGGGACCGTGTGCACATGAATACAGAGCACACTCACAGACACAAGAACAGGCACAAACATTCTGCCAAGAGGCAGAATAATAACAGCCACGTGCCAGCTCCACAATCACTTCTCATTATAGGACTGAGCCTATGATAAACAACAACAACAACAACACCAACACCAACACTCATTCCCTTCCCTTTGTTTTCCTCTTGTGTCCTTTTCATTTCTCTCTATTTAAAAGCAGGGATGAAAACATTAAAGAAAACATTAAAGGTTACATTATGTTTTTGAAGTATAATTGGAGGAGACAGTGAGTGCCAGGTTTACAAATGAGTGAATCCTGGTGTATTAAAGAAATATAGTTAGCCAGATAAAGAGGCTTGAGACAAAAGTCTAAAACTCAGCACAAGAAATGGCTAAAAGTGAGCCAGAAAACAAATAAAAATCACGATGAAATGTTGCGAAAAAAGGTTCGACCATTCACGCATTGCTGCTCAAAGAATGTTCAACAACTGAACTAAATATCACTGCTTAGAAAGCTATTACAAAGATATTCAACAGCCGAGAGAGTGCTAACAGCTAGAAAAGAAACAGACTTTCCACATTTTAAGTAGGCCACAAAAACTAACAATAGAGAGCACGGAAATCACAAACTTTATTAACAATGAGAATAATATATTTGAGTAAAAGTGAAATTCTGGTTAGAAAAATAGGCAAATAGTAGATAATAGCTCAATGACTGCTGCTTAACACAGTCAGGGAACAACTCAAGGCCTAGAGTTAGCTAAAGAGATAATGAGTAATAGCTTAAAAACTGGTCAAAGTTAGCTACAACAACTGACTTCAATTAGTCAAAGACTTACTACACATAAAAGTAAAGGAAAAGAGAGTCAACCCTGCTCCGTCTCCCGCTGGGACTGCATTCCACCAGGACCAGCGATCGTGGTCATTGGCTGCAGTCTTTCTGCTCATTTGTCCCTGAACCCTCCTGCGGCTCCGTCTTCTTCAGGCCCATGCTGACCAATTATTACATTTCTGCTCCTCATTTTGCTCCCCGCTCTGCTCCTCATTTCACAACCTCCTGGTGGAGCATTAATGTGTGATTGTGTGTTTTCCTCCTGAGAGGAGGAGGAGGAGGAGAGAAAGAACAGAGAAGGCGGGGAGGAGGGCTGCCGGAGTAGCTGCCTCATTAACGCTTGTGGTGACTGGCCGTAGACACACACTCTTACACACACACACACACACACACACAGAAACTTCAATACACACACACACACACACACACACAGAGGTACAAACACGCACAGGCCATTACCGTCACCTCAAATTTGCATAGCCCTGTAGTTAGTGAATTTATTTCACTAAGCTTATGCATAAGGGAAAACACACACATTTTCTCTCTCTCTCTCTCTCTCTCTCTCTGTGTGTGTGTGTTTGTGTGTGTGTGTGTATACGATGTCCCCTCTCCTTCCTCCCACCAAGAGTTGGTGATTACATCCTGTTNNCAGAGATGAAAGATATCAGGCAGCGGATAAGAAACGGGGGCTGGAAGTCTGATTGAAAGATGAGGGAATGATGGCAGAGCCGGGGAATCTGCTGAGATGACTGTAGAGCAGCAATTTACACCTTTCTCATCCAATCACCATCAAGTATGATGACGGAGGAACAAAGAAAAAACAGAGGGGACAGGAGGTGGATAAAAACAGAGAGAGAGAGAGAGAGAGAGAGAGAGAGAGAGAGGGCTCTAGTCAAAACTGGAAACTGCTGTAATCGTAGGATTCTTAGGTTTCTGATAGTACCTGAACGCACCTCGTCTGGCAGCTTCATAATTTGTGTACACCTCGCAGTTTGCAATATATAGTGCTGGAAACATGTTAATAATTTTCTTATGCTAAACAGATATAATATAATTGTTGATTAGTGAATCAAAGTAAGAACTACTCATTCTAAAAGTTGATGTTGCTGATGTGGCCCCCTGGTGAAGTGAGTTTGACACCCCTGTATTAGATCATCTTTAAACAGCGTTTTTGAACAGCAGCTTCATTACCAGGAGTTAAACCACGATGTCATTATTTAGCAGGCAGAGAATCAGAGCCGCTGTGGTCATTTAAAGTCACAGAAACTCAGAGGAATTATGATTTGTAAAACACTATTCTCACATTAGGGCCAAACGATGTGGGAGCCTGGTTGGTGTTCTTGCCTTACAGCAGGGGGATCATGGGTTCTGTCCCAGGTGGTTCTGATGAGGCCTGTACTTTTGTCAGCCCCCCCGCTCCTCACTCAATCCTAAAATGATTTATGGAGAACAATGCAAATTTAATTGGTGTGGTTTCACATTTCTGCACCACTTTATCGGAGATATTTGTTGTACTGAAAACAGCTTCATCAAAGCC